AGGATGAACTTCCATAATATTGGTTTTTGCAAAGAAGGAATTTTAGTGTCAATTTCTGGGCCTGAAGATTGTTTTTTAAATGCAGTGCTTCTGAAATGAGTCTGGCCACATTCAAGATGGCGGCCCCAAAGAATGTACGTCTGTATAAGCATGTGTGCACAACATGCGCATGCATGGATCGCATGCACCACCAGATAGGAATAAATTTCAACTTTTCATCTCTGCAAATGTTTTAGATAGCATGAATTGAGAGAGTTTGTAACCAACAGCATTATCCTAGGCTGGAGACATGTCATTGCTATGCCATAGTTTTAACTTTTTAAAATTTTTTTTATCCAGGCTCTCATTTGCATGCATGAACCAGGCCATGTTCCAAGTTAAGAAAAATTAAATACCCGTAACCCCTCTTCCCAAAACAAATACGTTTATCATTCTTCTGAGATGTTTTCCTTCACTTATGAAGCAACAAATTGCTTTGACATGCCCCATACGGATGTCAACTGTTTAATGAAGTAATTTGTGATATGTAAGTGGCCGAATAATTGTTAAAAAAGAGCACACCAAAGTAACTCACACAACAAACACAGGATGTTGTCAATTATAATTTTAATTTGTTTTAAAAATAGCTGGGCCAATGAAGTCTACGTCAAGATACTTGTTGATAACCAGTGTCCTGGGTACCAGTCCTCATTTCCACAATTTTTAGGCAGTCATTCCTAAGAAAAAGAATAAAGCATAATATTACAGTATGAAAATGCAAATGAGGCGCTCTTGCCTTGACTCAGTTCATGAGGCTCATTAGCATATCTTTCTTTTGTATTAATGCAGCATTATATGAACAGATTAAGTGCATTCTTCCAGTGCTGAGTCATTTTCCTGAAAAAGTTCAGCTCTAACTGTGTCTAATTACATGTACCATTTTGAGGGATCAATGTGTTATTAAAATTTGCCCCTTTTAACAATTGATGCATACGTTTACATGTGTTAATAAGAATAATGAAAAACAATTAGCTATTAGAATGTAAGATTTGTTTTGAAAAATTGGCTCCTTTTGGAAATGATGATGTATGCACATACATGTGTTAATAAGTGTACAACCCCAAAACATGGTTGAAATCACCATAGAGGTAGAAAAATGTACCATTGGGCCTATACGTACTATACATGTGCTGTGACAGAAAAGTATTGATAAAACTAGAGGTAGTGGTTGTTACAGCAACAACCATAGGGCTGTTTCGGATTTCAAGTTGTTTAATGGGGAAAAATAAAATATACAGATATCACTTTTTAAAAAAATACAAGATGGTGTCATTATGACATCATCAATCTGGAATAATTCTTGTATCAGGGTCTTTGTTGGCTGTAACTTTGATAAT